ACTAATTCGTCCGAGGGGGCATTATTTTGTTTCCAGCATTGGGCAAATGCTATTCTAGCTGTAGTTAGCAGATGTCTTTTTTCAATTATCCAGTTCTCTTTTTCTTCTAATCTTCCAACCCCCAAATTATGAGTTCATTTTTTTGTTACTTTCACGCAAAAAAGTCTATAAAGATTTCAGCTGGCCATAAATGTAGATTCCCCCCCCCCTCTAATCAAAAAATGTAATTTAGCCATCTTTGCTAGTTCCAATGTCTTCACCAACCATTTCTCTGTAGTAATGTAAAACTGGTCTCCTTTGCTATTGTTTCCAAATTTGTTGGGATTTTTTTTTTGAAGAACATAGCATTTGTGGGTCTTCTTAATACATACATTGTTGATTTAAGTTATCTTTCAATGGCTTTTTATTTTACTGCTGTCAGTATTGACAAGAGTTTCCTATCCAAATTTATAAGAGAAATACCTGCAGTTCCAACGTGCCTCAAGAATGCTATTTTACAGTTAGAGACAGATATTATTTCTTTGTGGTTTTATATCCTTAATTTCCTAGTTGAAATTGACTATGCCTGAGATCTGAGCTTCATCAGATACCAGATATCAGAAACAAGCCGAAATCAAACAGACTCAGGAGAAGACCAACATTTTGCTACTTTAGGTACGTTTTGAGTAAAGATCCAGAGTATAGAAGAGAAAAAGTGTGAATGAGATAGAGAGATGAGAGAAAGAGAAAAGAGTGAGATGTGTGTTTGTCTGTGTGAGAGAGAAAGAGACGAGAGAGAAAAGACAGAGTGTGTGCATGAGAGAGAGAGAGAGAGAGAGAGAGAGAGGGAGAGGGAGAGAAGAGTGAGGGAGGAGTATGTGTGTGATAGAGTAAGAGTGAGAGAGAAATGAGAGGGGAGGGAGAGATAGAGAGAGAAAGATGTATGTGAGTGTCTTTATGTGTGTGAGTGCGTTTGCAGAGGTGGATTAAGCAGGTTCGGACCCGTTCAGGCAAACCGGATGCTTATTTTATATCTGGTTCACCAAACCGGTAGTTGCAAGGACTGACTGGCTCCCCTCACCCCTCCCCTCACAGGAGTCTCCCTGTGGCCCATTTTGGATCCAGGTAAGTTGAGGGCCCGTGTGGAGGCTCTGGGAGGGCAAAAAATGGGCCTCCCGGAAGTTCCAGCAGTCCAGAAATGAGACCATTTCTGGCCTCCGGAGGGCCTCCAGAGCCTGGCGGAGGCCATTTTGCCCTCCCAGAGGTTCAAGGAAAGCCTCTGGAGCCTAGGGAGGGGAAAAACGGCCCACTTCATGGGACAGGAGGCCGAGTAGGCCACACCCACCATGGCCACACCCACACAACAAATGGGTAGATAACCAGTTGCTAAAATTTTTGAACCCCACCACTGTGTGTTTGTATGTGCAAGTGTTTATGTATGAGACCATGTGGATAGGATATTTTTTCCCCTTGCTTTCAGACAATTGGACCCAGAAAGATGGAAAGAGCTGATAAAGCTAATCATTTCTCGTCCTGTTCAACTAACAACTGGGTCATGTTAATTAGTTCCTCATTCAGCAGTGAGTAGATGATTAGCCAGGACCTCTGCTGTTTACAGTAATGAGCAAGCACTTAGGACTTCTAATTGTTTAATAGCAACAAATAAAAATATTCCCCTACGCTGGATTATGGAAAACCAAACCATATCTCTACAAAATAGAAAAGAAAGAGAGAAGGAAGGAAGGAAGGAAAGGAGGGAGGGAAGCAAGGAAGGAAAGATAGAAAGAAAGAAAGAAAGAAAGAAAGAAAGAAAGAAAGAAAGGAAGGAAGGAAGGAAGGAAGGA